GCTTCCACACTAACTTGGGTTGTCAGACAAGCAAAAATAAGGCAGGGAAAGGGGATGTTTTCAATCAGGGATATTGTGTTAGGGTCTGTAAAACTTAAAAATGTGTAAAAAAATACCCTACAAACCTCTTGTGCTGCATGTCTGGATGGCTTAAGCAAGCTCTTCACATCAATCCCAAGGTGCTTCCCTATAGAGAGAGAGATTTCCCCATTACAATGTTGAGATAGTTTTACGTCTTTGCACAGAGATGCTGTAGTGCTTTGCCACGCTGAGCTCTCAGCAGGTTCACACCTGTACTCAGCATTTCCAGGCAGCTCAAGGGGACTACACTCATCTTGCATTGCAGCTGGCAAGGGATGAAGAGGATGCAGAGATTTACAGATGGCTGCAAAGAACTTAATGGGTAAAAGCTTCACACAAACACCTGGATGCCTGCAGTCACTGGCCATAGCCCCGAGTACAGAGAAAGTCTTGGGCACAGTCCAGAACCAGCAAGCACAGGATACCTGCATCCTGTACTTATAGCCTTGCCTACTCTTGTATGGAATGCAGACAGTGTTCTTAGCTTCTCACTATCCTTATCTATGCAGAAGGAGGAAAGTAAAAATAACTATTTTCAGGACCTGGATACTGCATTCATTATCTGCTTCTCTCCAGGCTGTATCCTCTTTAAAACAAACCCTCCAAAAAAATCACAATGCTGACATTACCCACAGCTTTATAAAGGCAAGGTACATGCAGCATTCTCTTCTCCCAAGGACAGGAGAGGGGAGCTTGTACTGGAACCACACTCTGTGGTAAAAGTGCTTGGCTCTGTTGGACAGAAGCTGTGGTCAGTCTCTGAGATGTCAGAAACCATTTGCACTGTGGCACAAGGCTTTACCTCTGCTGGCTCTGGGCACCAGAACTGTCTCTCCGATATCCATGGGGCACGGGATGCTCTGGTTTGTCACATCACTCGTACAGGTCACAAAATTTCTCTTTTTTCCAACCTCTGATACTGCCTCTGCCATTGTTGGGAAGAGCTTCTTCAGCCAGCTGGTAGATTTTTTTGTTGTAAGCATTTTAGCCTTTTGCTTCTTCACCTCAGAAGATAGCTTAATTCCAAGGAAGTTACTGATATCAGAAGGGAAGGTAAACCCCTTGATATAAGGCATCTGTTGGGTCTCAGATACCAGCTGAAGTGTTGTTGACAAGACGTCATACAAGGACATGAGGGTCTGCAATACACACCTGTACTGAATCCTGAAGAGAGAAAAGACAAAAAGGTACGGAGTCTTCTCTAAGAAAACTTTATGCCCACTGAACAGCTACCTTAATCTCAAACAAAAGAGATTCCAAGCTGCCCTTTCCCTGTTTTCCCTCAGTGCAAGCTTAGCTTTTTACACTCCATCACCCTGCTTTCCTTAAGTCTGAGCCTTAAGGAACCATTAAGGATCAGAATGTAGGAGTGACTTGACTAGTAAATTCCCAATCAGGAGCCCCTCTGCTTCCCTAGAGTTTTGCAGTGTGCCACACCTGGGACTCATCAGGTTCTCAGGTCACATCCAAATCATTTGCCATGTGTTATTCCCCCAAAAGCACTCTGTACCAACTCAGGCTGATGCCATACAATTGCCTGCTCTATGTTTCCTGGAGGGACAGATTTCTTGTGCCACAGAACATTTTACTGAGTTCTTCTACACAATGATGTGATTTTCCTGTACTGAGAGAGACCAGAACACCAATTTCCCTGGAAAACTCAGCAGTGTTATAGAACATGTTTATCCCAGCCTTTCCATTTCAGCAGGAGGCAGGACTTACTGCTTGCTGCACAGAGTACCAGGTGTCAGTGTTTGTGTCAGGCTGGCACTAACACTGTGATTTCATTAGTGCTACATAAAGTTTGCTATGAGCCAAGAACAAAGCCTTCCATAACAGCATGTAAGAAGTCTCTCTCCACTTGTACAACTCTTCATGTGCTACAATCAAGTCCAAAAGAATGGAGGGACACCCTCTCCTCCTCCTCCCAACTGAATAAAGCTCACTTAGCAGCAAGGCCTAATTACAAGCCCTTATCCCTGACAGGCACATCAAACAGACAGACAGACAACAAACAACAACTTTTGAACACACAAACCATAGCCGGCTCAACAGCCCCAAAGCCACCGTGTTCAGAAGTATGAATTCCTTCGAGCAGAGATGTTTAATGGACAAGCTGAAGATTACAGCAGTTAAGGATAAAAAAGCAAACAGCATGTAATGAGACTTGCTGAACACACCAACTAGAGGCAATTCGCAAGGCGATACCCTGTAATAATTTGGGAGATGAGTATCCAAATTTTGAATTGCTCAAGGCCAGAACAGCAGCCAGCCAACAGTCTGAGGTTCCTACATAATAACTTGAAAATAAGGTGTTTGGCTATCAAACAAGCTTCAAGCTGCACGTATGAATTCCACAGTTGAGTCCACTAGCAATACAGGGCCTCCAGCAGACCTAGGTTTGGATGTCATGAGGTGCAACTAGTGAACTGTAAAAATATTTTTACCATGAAAAAAGGATACAGAAAAGTTTTACTGCAACAGTCCAATAGACGCAGTATGAGCTTGCAGCCTCCCAATACCTTCAGAGCCACTGTTTCCAGCATGGGCTGGCTGGGAACCAAGCACTCTGCATGGGCTTCAGATGTATCTTTCCTACGTTGATACAAGGATGAGAAGATGGTTACGATCTAGCAGCCCCCCCCCCTTTAGCTCTTCAGATTGAGTTAATGGATGGTATAAAATATAGAATCATGACACTTACTTAGGAATCAGTTCTACCAGAGTTTCAAGGCAGCCCACCAAATTCATTTTCCATAGTCGCTTCAAACATTGTTCTACCTAGAAAAAAAGAAAACTCTTTTGACTGGTATTTTGAGAGTCTGGCAGTGCCTTGGTCTAAGAACCATCACTATGTTAAACTACACCTTCCCTTTACCAGTGTAGCAGCACAAACAGCAGGTTTGTGTTATGAAACGTTCTGGGATATTCCTATATCTGCCCTTCATCACTCTACTGTAAAAACGGAATTAAGGACTGCAGTAGGTCATGGTTAATTGGTGCTGCATGGTTTCCCCTGCTGTATACAATTACCTTTGGTTTTCTGTCAAGAACGAAAACACATGAACAAATCAAGAAGGTAAGCACCATTCCTGCTCTGTTTCAAAACAATTATTTGAAGGTACTGACAATCCCTTTCCTGGAAAATCGGTAAGAAGTTTACTTTTCATGCTAAACCAAAAAATATCTAAAAGGGCAGGTTTGGACTTTTCCCCCCCCCCCCCCCCCCATTACAATTAATTGAGAACGAAGCCTCTGTATTACTCCTGCATTCAAAGGTATGTAACTGTAGCTCCTTCAGGTCTCAGCGTGAGCACAAGACACCACATATGCGTGGAAAAGTGGAAATGGCACTGGCTGCACAGAGCGGTCGCTCACCTGCTGCAGGGCGAGGTAGGGGCGGTGCCGGAGCAGCCTGCTGTGGAACGCGTAGAGCAGGGCGCGCACGACGCGTCCCTCGGCGGCCAGGCCGGGCCCCGACAGCCGCCTCCCGGCCGTGTCGCACCGCCGCCGCAGCACCGACAGCCGTCCCACTGCGGGGGGGAGCCGGACACGGCCTCAGCGCCCGCCGTCACCCCGGCCCCCCGCGCCCCCGGCCCCCACCGCCCGTCCGCCCGCCCACCCGCAAGCGCCCGGCAGCGCCTTCAAACGCCCCCCAGCCCCTCACGGCACAGGGCCGGGACCTGCGGGGTGTTGGGCCGCCAGCGTCACCGTGGCGCTGCTCGTGGGCCAGGGCACGTCCAGCCGGTTCCACGGCGCGTCCAGCCGGTTGCACGGCACATCCCGCCGGTCCCACGGCACAGCCCACGCCGCCCTGGGCGCCGCCATGTTCCCGCCGCGCACGGCCTGGGCGGGACCATCCCAGCCGGGCCGGGGGAGGGCCGCGGGCTGGACCAAGTCAGGCCGCGGGAGCGAGACAGAGCCAAGGGCCTGGCGGTGGTGCGCTGCCTTCCCAAATGTCGTAAGCGAGAAGAAGTGTTACTCACACTTTCCAAACCTCGCAATTCTTCAGTGTCAGCCTCGGGGGCTGGGGCTGTCGATAGCCAGCGCAGCAGCCGCTGAGCTCCTCCGTGACGCGTTGCCCGAGAGCCCGGGGGTGACCCCAGTCACGGGCCCTGCAACTGCGCCCTCCCCTGTGACACACACACACCTTGAAGTGCAAAAAAATCTGGGAGATCGGCTTCACACCAGTAGCAATTCCTATCCGGATGTGAGGACACAGTCTTAAGCTGTGTCAGGGGAGGTTTAGGTTGAACATAATGAGGAATTTTTTCACAAGAAGGGTGAATAGACATTGGAATGGGCTGCCCAGGGAGGTGGTGGAGTCACAGACCCTGGAGGTGTTTAAGGAAAGACTGGACATGGCACTTAGTGCCACAGTCTAGTAGACTTGGTGGTGGTCAGTCAAAGGTTGGACTTGATGATCTCAGAGGTCTTTTCCAACTCAACTGATTGTGTGATTCTGTGATATCAACACTCTGAACAAGGACAGGCCTTGCTGCCCCTACCCCAGGTGCCCACCTGGCCATCCTGGTCCCTGCATGCATTTGTCCAGCTCCTGGGATTTGCCATGGCAGGGACAAAGGGCCAAGGCCAGGCAGAAGTGGGGCCTGTGGTGAATGCAGGTGTCCCATGGAATTGATTGCTGCCATTTATTAGTGTTGTTAGAATAGTTTCCTACCAAATGGATCCAATTTTTGTGGTCTTCAATGAGTTCTCCTCCCCCAAGTATAAGACATTGTTTCCTGCCTCTTTCCCTTTCTGCCTGTAGTTGAAATCTCCTAACTGCTAACACTGGTATTCAAATTCAAATATTTGTTGGGAACAATGGAGCTAAATTGGGCACAATTTTTTGTATAGTCTTATCTTCTCTTGATTCCATTTTGTTGTATACTTTCTATTTTCTTTTAAGGAATCTTGTACAAATACAGATTAAAGTGATGTCCTTTTAAAAAGATAGAGCAAAGATTGGCATTAATGGTTGCACCTGTAGGGAAGAGAGATAAGAGCAAACCAAGAGGCAGAGCTGACAAAAGGCTGCTGTGAGCACTTGCCTGGCCTGGAAAGAGGAGTGTTAGGCTTCATAGACTAAGAGTGAAGGTGAAAGTAAAAATGGAATCTCTGAAGTGTGAACAGAGGATCACAAAGGTCTCTCTAGCTGAGCTTCTGAGGTGTTTTGAACATCCTATAAGTGAGGAGCAAGCCTGGGCTATCTGCTTTCAGTGTTGCTGTAAAATGGAGCAGTTGGCTCAGGAGCTGTGCCCATCACTCCATTCTGTATTCATAAAAGGTTGTGGGAGCGTCTTGATCCATGCTGATGGTACTGCTTCCTTCAAGGTCTACCACAAGTCTGGTAAGAACACAGGTAGCTGCAGATGCCAAGGGTTGTTCCTTTAACAGGCTGAAATGGGACAAAGTAGGGAAATTTTCTTTTCCTCTGTTTTTTTTTGTTGGTTTTGTTTGGGTTTTTTCCCCTCTCCTGTCTCTGTATATTGTCATGAAGCTATTCTCCTGCCTATACTTTATTTCAGAGGACTGTAGATGAATAGTAATACAGATATATGACCTACTAATTTCTCTAGTTTGCTCTGTCGAGTCATTTGGTTCCAGGAAATAGCTGGGATAAAAGCTTTCCACCACTTACTTTATTTGAAGTAAATAATCTGAAGCTTTATTATATGTCCTGCTCTGTTCATCTTCCAGTCTTCATCTTCTTACCTTTGTTATGGTAACTTTCACAATGGATTTATGATTGCAGTTTCCCTTTTTCTGTCACTGTGTAGCCAGCAAGTGGCAACAAGTCTGTGTTATGTATGGCTTGGTGGGGCTGCTGCAGAGGTCAGTGCTAGGCTAACTCTTCAGGGATTAGAGTGGGTCATTAACAATAAAGACAAAGATCCCATGCCTTCCTTATGGTTAGATATCAATTAGCAGACAACAACAACAACAAAAAAGGGAAAAAACTTGCAGCAGCCATTAGTTTGGGGCTAATGCTTACAGTAAGAAGAGCATCCCATGTTGCTTTCTAGCAACAAAGGATTTCCCCAATTATAGACTTACTTTCCCCAGGTGGGACTGACTTTAGTCAGAGGAGTTAGTTTCCTTATTATCAAGAATTCTTCCTCTTTCCCTCTCTTGAAAGGGGTTCTAAATACCTAAGCAGTTTTCTTTCTCCTCCAACCCTCTTTTTTCCCTTTCAGATATTGGCAGCATTCAGCATTCAGAGGACAAGGTAAGCTTGTTTCTTTACCTTCATTATGTGTGCAGATAGAATCCTGCTATAGTAAAGGCCAGCTCAGGAGATATAGATGTCTTTGGAAACTATCAAGGTGCTGTGCCCTGTGAGTATTTCTCCTACAACCTGGAAAAGAAAACAAAATGCTCAGACTGAACTCAAGGAAAGCAATGGGAGTGGGAAACAATGTGCACAGATGCTGTCTACTGTGCCCAGAGTCTTGTTGTCTTAATAATGATAACTCAGGGGTGCTAGTTCAGGCCATATAAAATCTTACAACGACTTAAATGGGGAATATCTCTCATCCTGAGAGATGTGCTCAGCCCTCAGAGGCAGATGAGGGTACGTGCATGGCTGGGAATTGAGAGCTGTGACATTCTCCAGTTTGTGCTGCATTGCTTCCTTGGTCTGTGTCTGCAGCTGTTGGAATACTTGGGAGTGGTGATCTATGAAGCCCTGGACTGGGGCATTGACAGCCAGCTGGAGCGACAACTGAGTGGTCCTTTGGAGAAATTGCTGTGCCTCATGTTGAAACTGGATGATGAGCCAATGAAACCAGAACTCACCCTGCAGGATGTTATCAAGGTTTCCTTATTCCCACTTAGTAAATGTAGCAACTTTAGAGGAGCTGATGGAACGGTGCAGTTAACCAAGGGGCAAGACCATTTCTGGGTAAAAGCTGGGTAGATTGTTGGAGAACATAGAGGGAGCATGTGGCTTTCCCATCACAGGGAAAAGGCAATACCATCTTAGGTACTTGCAGGTGCCCATGGAAAAGAATTAAGAAGGAACACTACACATGGCTCTCACACAGCTGTGTCTACAAAGTCCTTCTGTACATAGTCTCCAAATTCAATACCCAGAAGACTATGGATATTGAAAAAAAGTCACTTGTCTGTAGTATTAAGTTTCTGCAAAGGCTGGGATTTCAATGTCTGAACTCAAACAGGTATTTTCCTCTCAAATAGAATTTAAAGGTATGAGAAACTTCCCATCCCTCTGTCTGATCTGGGCAGGGGAAAAGAACAGGGTAAGTGACTCCACCTGCTGTGGGGTTTTGTGCTTTGTCGGCACTGCAGGCTTCCCCTTTCAGGTACTTATTTCAAAGCACACTCTATGGAAGACAATATACATAAATTATGCAGTTACTTACATTATCTTACATATAAGATTGGACATTTTGCTTCTTTGTTCCTCTGTATCTGCAATGAGGAAGATGATTTTTAACCATGGATTGAGGAAACTGAATCTTGCTTTATTCCATCCTCCCATGGTGTTTTGTTTTTTCATTTCAAGATCTCTTTTAAATAGCTGCAATTCTTTCAGGCCTGTGAGGAGCACTTGCCCAGGCCTTCTGAGGCTAGCAGACATTATGAAATGACCTGTAGGAATCTGTTTGCTGAATATATGGAACTTCAAAAGCTTGTGACCATCATCCAGACCTCCAAAGAGGTACATTTGGGATCACCCCTTAGCTGCTATTCCCTCCACCTTCACAGACCCACCAGGTTCTAAAGTAACCTTCCCACTGCACTGAAAGTGGAGCATGTAGGTGAAGGTCTGTTTTCACAATGGGAATGGCTTCTGTCTCTGCACCTTTTTTACTTATTATAGCATTTAAAAGTTTAGGTGTTTGGGGTTTGTAGGCTTTTCAGATAAACATTAGTAATTTATATTGGATAGATACTGAACAGTGCAATGACCTCATGTGCTTGCTTCTCAGCGACTGAGAAAAATGGATGTGGAAGATTTGGTGGAAAATCCCATTCAAAAGAAGAAAAACTGTGGCGTAAGGGATTTAATTTCTTCATTATGGGCATGGTTTTTTTTCTTCAGCCTTAGCTCTCTGAGGCTTCCCACTGATTCTTCTATGAAAAGTAGAGATTGAATATATTAAACTGCTTAGGTTTTTTCAGGAGCTTAAGTAGTTAACGACTTGTCTGCAAAACAAGCTGGAGAATGAACTTGAAGTTAAACTATTTCATATGTCAACCTCACGTGGACATTTATTCTACACAAATATTGTCTTTGTGGTCCAACTTAAACCACTTCTAAAAATGAAGTTGGAGGCAGTCTTTGGAGTAAGTGTCCACAAGCAATTACTCAGGCTGTTTCTTTCTGCAGCTGAGCCCCAAACTCCAGCTCTTGGCAGGAACTGACACCTGCAATCTGTTCCTTTCTTGTAGCTGGACTGAAAAATCCCAGAAAACTGTTCTGTTATTGGTAGTACTGGGATGGACTATTTCCCTTTTACTTTGTGGGGTCTATGTTGGTTCAGGACTGGCAGGGACTGAAGGCCAGTAGCGCTGTCCATCTTTATGGCAGCTCCAGCAGCTCAAAGGGGCGAAGGGGGATGAGGCTGGAGATGTCACTTATACATTGGGCTCACTGCCTTTCTGGTCTTTGCATTCTGTCCTCCCATAGATCTTGGACTGTATGTTTGGGGCAGAGAAAGCAACTTACTCTGTTCTTTTCAAGGCCCTGCAAAGTCAGAGCTCAATCAGAAACAAATAGCTCTTCCTTCAGGCTGGAGCTCTGCCCAGCATAAACAAATGCACTGTAGTCTGGAGTCTGTGGAGGCAAACAGCAAGCCCCAAGAGACTTGTGGACTCGCTCCCTTTGTCTAAATAGCACTTGCTTTGAAGCATGCTCAAACTATTCGTATGAAAATGTTTGTGAAATGTGTGTTTGGGCATATTCTCAATTTTGTGATCTATTAAAATAAACTGGCAAGCTATCTCGAACCACAAACTCATCAACTGCTATAGCTCTTTTCTGCAGGGAATACATGAATAAATACAAGGGCTTTGCTGTGTGGCCTGAAGGCCAGTGTATTTGGCCTCTGCTCCTTCAGGAGACATGAATTCTGAAAGCTGGACGCCTTTTGCAAATCCTCTGCCTCTAGTTTCCAAGTCCCTTAGCACCAGCTGATTGCATCGCTCTGAAAAACTCTTGAGTTTAAAATAACCAGGGTGCTAACTTCACTGGGATCCCACAGATCAGAGCTGATGCCTTGAGTGGTGCTAAGAAGCTAATGCTCTCTATGGGCCACACTTTTTTTGTTGACTGCTACAAAACAGGTCTTCTGAAATGCAGACCACAGCCTGACAGCATGCAGGGTTGTACAGTTTCAGCAGAGCTTATCTGTACACGTTACAAGTTGATATTCACCTTGAAATCTAAGCAGATGAGACCTGTTAGAAACACAGCTGTCTTACTGCTCATCTGTTGAACTTAATGCAATGGATTTACGGTGTTGTAGCATTTTTGTGTTGTATTGCACAGGTGTGGGAAGTTTAGGTGGTATTTAACACTACATGGGATGGCCCAAGTAGAATAATTGGTGATCCCAATGATCCAGTCAGTAGGGGAAGAAAAGTATGAGTGATGATGATGTCACCAACATCTGAAAAATGTTTTGGGTGTGCAAGTTGCTCTGAAATGGACAGCTGAAGACAATTCTTGTCCCAAAACTCATGTGGCAATATTACAGTACAGAAGTCTCTCTTCAGGTCATGTTTTTCAGTCAAGTGCTATAACCATGTGAAATACAACTCTATGAAGTGCAAACATCTTGGTGCTATTTCAAAAGTTTAAAAAAAAAGTGCTATTTCAAAAGTCTCTAGTACTGATGAGTTTGCCCAGAGACTTTTGTGTGAGACTTTCTCCCACACAATATTAAATATAACCTAGGAGATAGGGCTTGTATGTGGTCACTCTTTGATAATTCTAGTTCTCTGGAGTTAAGGTATGACTGTACCAAAGCCAGGCTAAAACAATCCAACAAAAAATCTCTCTGCTTGAAGGCAGCCATCAGTTAGAGCTTGTATAAGACTCTTCTGATATTACACCAAGATATCTGAAGGGATAAGTTGAGAGAAGATGCTGTAAGTGGAAAAGGGAGAGGAGTCTAAGTCAGAAACTTTGTTTTGAGGCAATTTTCTGAAATGTTTTGCTTCCCTTTCACTGTTTATAATACAATCACTTGTTCTTGCTTAATTTGCCATTGGGATCCAGATAAGCTGTTGATTTAGCACTTCCATTACAATGTTGTCTAAACATGCTATTGAGTTGATTATTTTTTATCCTGTTTTTGTTGGGTTATACTGCATGCCTGAGCATCCTCAGATACTAATACAGGGAGAGGATGAGCAGATGTCAGTTTTTAGCTTGTGTCTCCAGGCTGAGACTGCTAATGTATGCTTCTGTGAAGTATGAGATCCTTTGTTTGTGGACACTTCAACCCTTGTTTTCTGAAAATTTAGAGGATTTTAATGGTGAGATTTGGGATTTCATTCACAGTGATTCCTAGGATTCAATAATATGAAAACACTGGCACCTGGAGTGCTTGCAGAAAGAAAATGTGTCTTGCTACCTGGCAGCAAAAGCTGTGTTTTGCTGAAGTACATTCATAAAGTTAATGACAAAATTTGGGAATGAGCCTGGTGAACCAGCTCCTGGTTTCCTCATTGTAAATTAATCTCTGCAAAGAGAAGCAATTCTCTGCTCTGGTACTGTACCCTGCTCTGAAAGTGAGTAGAAGCAGATATTAAGGACACAACTGTGCATTTCTGAATAACTTCAGTTTCTAAGTGTCCCTCCTCTAAGTGGAGGGAGGGGATGCTGCTCAGTGTGTTCTAGCCAGCTATTGACTTAGCCCTTCCTGGTTTCTCCGAGGCATCCCTGTGGCCCAGTGTCATCAGTGAACTGCAGGCTGGCGTGAGGCTGCACAAGGCCAGTGAGCGACCCCAGCGTTGTGTGCCTCCGAAAGAACGGATCCGCTCTCCCTTTGAATTGCTTTTGGATGATATTCAGCACAAGAGATACACCCTACGGAAGGTGAGTGGCTTGGAAAACATCTGCTCTACTTCATGTCTGAGCAGTATGTGTTGAGACGTCTTCTCCAAAAGCTTGCCTTTCTCAAGGGCACTTCGAAGTCCAGAAGTGTCTGGGTATCCCTCTCAGTTGCAACTCAACATTAGATCACCCTATTTTTCTACCCAAGTGCTTCATTTCCAGTAATTTTTTAAGTCAGCAGTAGTCACAGTTTCATGAAGCTGAATAGTAAACCTCTTCTCCCTCCAGGGGTCAGCCACTCCTTTCCCTGGAGCAGTTATGCTGCCCCGCACACAACAGTTTCATGGAACAGACTCTTGCCTGCTTCTGCTTTCCACCTTGGACACTCATGTCCTTCCAGGCTCCTTAAGCTGAGCTATGCTTGGCAGCATCTCTTGCTAGTTTCCTTGCCTTCCCAGATGCCCCAGATGTTCTGGGTGTATGCAAAAGCAGTTTTGAGACAATCCTTTGCTCAGTCTCAGGCAGAGGCCTCTAGGCAGTGTACTTGAGCTACTGCAGGAGTTCAGTCAGGGTAAAAAAAGTTAAGGCCCTCCCAGGGCCAGATGCTGTTCTGACTCAAGTGGCAGTGACTTCCAACTTCACCACTTGGTTGGTGAAGATGACCAGATACAAGAATGTCTGGGGTGTCTCTAAAGGCTCGAGATACTCTTTGCTTGCTGCAGCTTGATCTGGGAATGATGAGCAGATCTAAAACATTGGCATAAGGCTTTGTGGCATTGGCATGCTTTGCAAACAGACGTCTTGGCAGAAGATGAGACACAACTCTTCTTGTAATAAAAACCAGTATTACAAAAAGTGAAAACTTTGCCTACCACACTAGACATCAGGTTTTTTTTTCCTCTTTGTTGGTGCTGCTGGAGTGCAGCAGGTTTATAAGCTTCAGCTAAACCATGCACCTCCATAAAGCCCCAGCTCTTGCTTGGCTTGACTGCGGTTCCAGCCTCCAGGTAAGGCTATGTCATTTCTTTGGAGATAATATCTTTATTGATATATAAATGAATAGTAGTGTAAAGGAGACAGTGCATCATAACTATTTGTGTTCCTTGCAATGTACTGTATATCAGTGCACTGTGCAGTACAGAACCATAACTCAAGGTGGCAGGATGATCTGGGACTTGATTTTCTCTTTTTTTATTTCTTTTAAAAAAACAAAACCAAACCCAACAAAACCCCTCACACTTTTCTTTTTGAGGAGAAGCACAAACATGTTTGAAGAGTAGTAGACAGAAATGCTCAAAGAAAGCAGAGTGCACAGGTCTTTGTGAAGGCTCTTAAACTAGGATTTCCCCATCTGCAAAGCTATTTTAAAGCTTCTCTAGCAAACAGTGGTCTAATTTGCAAATGAATGAAAGCACAGCTAGTGTGGGAAGCTGTAGTGTTGTTCTACCTGCACTCTCACATGTTCTGAAGTTGTACACACAGGCACCATAACCTCAAAATAAGAATACATGAACAAGGCAGCTAAAGACATGCGTGTACAGTTGACTTTTTTGTCAGTTCTCCCCTATGCAGCTAGCACAGGGCTTGATGCCTCACATGAATATCTGCCCTGCAATTCTATCTTGCTATTGTTCCTAGTTTATGTAGGGCTGTAAGCCAGTCTCTGAGACTCTAGCTTATGCATACAGCTGCCTGCTGCTGCAGTTTTTGTTGCAGTTCTGTTAACCCGTTCCATTGCTCTCCTCCCTGGAGCTGAGTTCTCACTGACGAACAGGATGATGCTTATCAGGATCACTCCTGACATCAAAATCTGAATACAGTGTTTTCCAGCATCTTCATGAGCAGTTCATGAGCTGCTAGGGCTGGAAGCCTCTAAGGGCTGTGCAGCACTTCTGATTGCCTCTAGCTTGCCATTGGCAAATCTGTCTCCACTGAGAACCCACATAAGTAAATCTCATCATTCTGCACTTCCCAACTCATTTTTTTATGCCATCCCCACCTCCCCCATTGCCAAATCCTGGACTGCACTGTTCAGTGTGCCACTGAATGGCAAGGTGTACCAGGAGGAAGGAACTATTGTAGAAAAAAACCTATTTCTTAAGCATCGTTTTTCCTCTTTCAGGTGATCGTTGAGCAAAAACACAAGGACCCCAAAGTTGATGTAGCTGCTCCCAAGCCTCATCTAAAGCTGGTAGGTGACCCAGTGCTGCATCTGATGATAGCAAAAAAAGGTAATTCTGGAGTGACAGTACAGCTTCAAGGAACACAGAGGTAATGCCTTAGCTACTGGTTTGTGTTTGGGAGGGGGATATATTAACTTCTGAGCAGATCCTCCTGCCAAAACTGGGGCCTAGGAAAATGGGAGTTGACATCTTCATAGGAGAAAGATGATCAGTCTCCTTACTTCTTCCACTGCTTCTTTCATTTGGAACATTTTGTGGTCCTGAAAGAACTTCTGAAGTTCTCAATTTCAAATTTCAGAGCCACCAAAGTATTCTGCTATGCCCAGTGCTGGAGGGTGTCTCACGTGCAGGGCCCAGTGCCCTCTTGAGTGACAGGCACTTGTAAAACAATGCCATTGCTGATGGATTTTTCTGTCACCACTGGTCTCCTTGCTCTGTGCACTGGCTCTTTGTGGTGCTGTGCTTTGCCTGCAGGTGTTGGAGAGGCAGCTGAAAGAGTGTGTGCCATGTGAGACCAGCTGGCATGAACGGTGCATGGTAGAAATAAAACAACCACAGAAGCTTCAGTCAGCAGCAGCACAGGAAAAAGGGAGCAGGACCAAAGGTACCTGCTCCAAAATAGTGGCTGGCCTTTGAAATGAAAGCCCATTTATTTTTTCAACAACATTTATAATACAAAGGGGGTGGCAATGCAAATTTGGTGTTAGAGGTGGTTTGGCATAAGAATAGTTATTTCTAGAAAATCTGTCTGTGGCTTATTAAGACTCAAAAGATGGTTCAGCTTACCCATTTTTTTATGGATGTTCAAAATTGTCCACTAAGTGAGAGGGCAGAATTTTGACCATCACCTAACACTAAAAGTTTATGTAACTGTCATGAAAAAGTCTGGCCTAATCTCAAATTCTGATTTATGGGTATCAAATTTGTAATTTTCTTGTCCCAGCCCAATATCTCATTTAGTCTGTGTGTATGGGGGGTTTTGTTCTCCCTCTCCCCTGCAGAAATGCTTTTGACACCAAGTACAGCCTTGAACTCTCCAAGTGACAGTTTTTTAACTCTCCAAGATGCCAGTACTGAGTTTAAAGTTGTCAGCACTAAACCACAGCAGCCGGGACCAGGAGTTCAGGTAAGGCTTTAAGTGAAAGGACTGTGGAGAGGTATTAGATCTGCAAACACACACATAGCCTGGAAGGTCAGGTACAAATCCTAGTGTAGGAAATCTTGTGTCAAAAGTGAACAAATGTGGTACTGTTGGGTTCATTGAAGTTCTTTTCTCTACAGAAGCACATATATTCAGACAGTTCTGTTTGTGGCATGACTGCAGTCTATAGGTACAGCGTATAGGATCCCTTCTCTCTGACCAGTGCTAGGACCTGAGGAACTGGCCTGAAGTTGTGTCAGTGGAGGTTTAGGTTAGATAACAGGAAAATGTTTTTCACCCAGAGGGTGGTTGGTCACTGGAACAGGCTCCCCAGAGAAGTGGTCACAGCACCAGGCCTGACAGAGTTCAAGAAGTGTTTGGACAAGATTGTAATTCTTGGGATGGTCCTGTGCTGGTCTAAGAGTTGGACTTTTCTTGTGGGTACCTTTCAGCTCAGGATAGTCTATGATTCTATAGAACCAAGGTCTGCTCTGGTCTCTTAAAACTAGATCGTGCAGAAGTTTCAATATGCATGGGAATCTGGCCAATCTTACAGTGAGGCATTTAATGCTAGGGGTATTGATGTATTTTGGTTTCACATGGTATGTGAGCTCATGGAAGGAAAACATAATTACTTATTTTTAAGAAGCAACTTGATTGGTGAATTCCCACTCTTCTGTCTGTGGAGTTATTTTGGGAGCACCACTCCTTAATAAACCGAAATGTCTTTGGGTTCTTTTACTCCTGGCTCGATCATGAAAAGCTTGACTTACTTGGTTCTGGGATTCAGACTGAGCATATTCAGAAATTCTGTGGAACAGAATTTAAGCCCTAAAACATCATGTCTAGCACAGATGCTCTGGCATACAAACAGGAATCTGTTTTCTGTAAATATTTCTGTCTGAAATGCAGTTGCTTAACTGAGGAAAGCGGATATGAATTAATAAAAGCAGAAAATCTCAGCTATATTTGCCCCCATCTGTGCTACTTGAAGGAATGTTCAGCATTTGAGAACCCTGTAGTTGATGTATTACTGCTAAACTAGAAGGACTTTCATATGGAGACTAATATAATCAAATTTGTTTTCTGCTTTTCTAGAGAAGGTAGAAACTGCTGTTGAGATACAGCACTGGGTTTGAGTTGGGTTAGCGAGTTGGATTGGTCATAGCCTCTTGAACTGTTCTCCAATGTTGCTGTGTGTCAGCTGGAGCCAAGAATATGGTTCCAATGTACTCCATGGGTTGCTTAGGGAAGATTTTGCAAAGTTGGTTCCTGAACAGATGAAACTTTTGTATTAGTACCCACATTGAACTTGGGAGAGAGAGAGCAGATGAATTGGAGATTTCATGAACTTGGCTGGAGCTTCCTGGTTGTGGAGTGCACAACTTTATATTAACTTTATATTTATATTCCAAGAAGTAATATTCCAAGAAAGTTCCTAAATGTACTCCATTGATTTCTTTCTTTGCTTCACTTTTGAGTCAGCCTGAACATTTCTGGTCAGTCCTGGGTATCCTGGTTTTGTTTAGCAGCAGTACTTCTGCTGAAGTGGGCTTAGTGTCTTGCTTGCAGCTTATGAACATCCTGTCCTCTGGTCTACAGGAAACCACTCCCAAGCTGCCTGACAGCACCTGCCTTTCCTCCAGCAGGTCATCTCTAGTATCCTACAACAGCACAGGTCAGTGTACTTCCAGCTGCATGTCCAAACCAGGTGATAAAGTACAGGTTTGGCTCACTGTACACTTTCTTTTCACTCTGATCACTTGGAGTTACTTTACAAGAAGAGCTCCAACACTAAGTAATGAGTCTGGGGAGGTGCCCTTAGAAAACCATTTCTCTGCAGTTGACTAAAGCCTGTGTAGTTCCTGCAGCTTCAAAACAATGATACCATGTCCCCAAAGGCCTAACTGGAATTTGCAGTAAAAGCTAAATGAATGTTTTGAATATTCAAGTAGAAAGTGCACCACTTGATTTCATTAAACTAAGTGGTGCTAATGAAGCCTCATCACTGCCTACTGACAAGCATAATTACTGTAACCTCTCTTTTTTGTGATCTGAGCAGATGGGGTGGAGGAGGAGAGACGTAAGCCTTGCAACCTTCAGAGGGCAGTGTAGTGCTCTTGCGTGTTTTTTGGGGTGAATACTTAAAAGCTGCCAGTTAGTTTTCTGCACCCTAAAACTCTCTCTTCCTATCCAGGTCTCACTGCAAATTCCCTGTGTCCCCCATGTCCACCCACACTAGGAGATGTCAAACCCAAGAGTTTCCTGAATACTGGCCAACAGCAGCTGCCTCCTTACAGAAGAAGGTCCAAATCTTTAGAGACAGGCCTTCAAAGCAAGGAACTTGTAAGTCCAACATGTTAGCAAGCAGCCCTGGTCTGATAGATCTTGTAATGACTAGAGCTTGCACCTTGATCCTCATGTAAGCACTAAGCATGCTCTGTGGTTTTTATCTTGGGACATATTGTATACTGATCTGAAGTTGGTATATTATTCTCTCATTGGAGACAGCTTAAGAGAGGACTGGATGCTGCAGTGTCCTTGCAGTGCCCTCCCAGTTTGAATGATATGAAACAGTTGTTTCTCATACAAGAAGAAAAAAATACCTCTGTACTACTTGAAAATGTCCATCAAGACTTCCTCAAGCAGACTGTAGTTGACAGTAGGACTGTCCTGCTTTCTCCATCTCCCCTCATTCTTTCTAGATTCTGATATGTTCACAAGTGTCCCTTAAGCTGCAGTAAAGGGAACAAGCAGTTGACAAACTGTAGATAGCACAGCATTGGTGACTTCTAAATATCTCATGTATGCAGTACTGAAGTCATCAGGCTCTGCATGATGGTAGTGAGAGAAATGCTGGGGTTTGTGTGCTTCTGTGCAACTTTCTGAATTATGGCCTTGCCCTGTTCTGCCCTAACAAGGTGTGCTGTGCCCTTGCTTCCTTCTTTCCTTCTGCATCTCTCTCTGCCTGACCTTGGCAAGTCTCTAAACTGACCTGAGGACTCTGAGAACTCTTTGTTCAGCAGTGGGCTGGGGGATGCAGGTGAGTTGAGTTCCCCAGGTCTCTCCTGGTAGACCACCAAACTATAATTGCCATGTGTGTGGGGCCAGTGATTCCTGGGAAAGAGAAGGCAAGACAGTGCTGTGCTGTGGAAAGGGATCTTGTACTCAGGAGGGGCCAGGGTGGCATCTGTTCTGTGGTCTGTTCCAAAGGGTAAAATTCCCCAAAGGCTGGCTCTGGAGATGGTATTAGCTGCTGTGGTGACCAGTGGATCTGCTTCCTTTATGAGGTGTCAGGAACCTGCTTGAAAACTGTAGCAATCACTAAACCCCCTGTAGTAGTTTCTCCACTAGCATAATCAGTCAACCAATATTCCCCATCACAGGCAAAACTGGGTTTTGGAGACAAATGCTCCTCAGCCTTTGGGACCCAGTTTTGAGGATAACCTCCCCAAATAGCTGCTTTCTTCAGCTTTCTCCAATGCTTAACTTCTGCCTTTCAACAGGACTCTCTCTCTCCTACCAAGTGGCCATCACCAACCATTGCTGAGCTGATTGGAACCAGATATTCAGAGATGGTGCTGAAAGGGCAAGACTTCTTCCAAAGAGGTGGTGATGGTGTCTTTCTAAGAGCAAAGGTATGTTTCCTCTTCTTCTCTTTGTGCTATCCTTGGTTTTTCAAAAGCTGTCTGGTTTCATGACCCTCAGTGCTGAACTGCTGAGGTGCCCTTTGCCTCAACTTATCCTGTTCATAACAGCTGATCCGAGTTTGGCCCTAGGCTGGAAACAGTTTTTAGTACTTGTGCAGTGATGGCTTCTAATCCAGTTTAAACTCTGTAAATTGCTTAGAAAGTAACCCAGCCTTTGCTTTTCACTTCTTGTCTGTGATTTCCATGCTAGGAGAGCTGACTACCGTGACTGTTGGTGAGTTCTGAAATCCTAAAGTAAATAGTTGGGATTTGGTACTGCTAAAGAGTGAAACTGAGGCTCCCACACCCGAGTTGACCTAACTCAAACCACCTTGCTGAGTGGACACAAAGGTCGGGGAGATGAGCAGCACAGAGAATGACCTGCAGCACAAGACTGTTGGCTGTTCATATTTCTTGACTACTGCCTTACTCACTGAGTCTCCTTTAGAAGGGGTGTTGCAGCCAGCCCCTTCAGAACAGATGTCCTGAGTGCAAGCCCTTTGCAACACAGATGTGAGGAAGTCTGTGCTACTGGGCTTATGGGTCAGCTTCTTGCCCTCATTTACTTAGCAGTGCAGACAGAGTCAAAGGGTTCTACTAGCAAAGCTATGCTACTTCCACAGTCTGTCTGATGCTCCTGAGACTGAATTCTTGTTTTTATCTCACCTTACCGACCTTGCTTTAACTTGCCTGTTCTATGCCTATTCAAAAATGGCTCTTATCCCCTTTGTATTCTTGCTGCTGAAGTTTTTTTAGCTTTCTCAAGCTCTACTTCTCAAGATAATATCACTTCTGACTGCCAGCTGTGTATGAATGTGCTCTTTCTTATAAAGTTCAAGCGACTCATCAGCTTCCTTATGACTCATTTTTTGCTTCAGGATTGAATTCAAATTTGCCCTGATTTAATCTCTTTGGGATTGCTGCAGTCTACCTCAAAGAATGTCTCTCTTCTTCCCTCTCTCTTAACTAGCTACTGTTACACTCTTACACAATACAGCTATTGTTTGCTCCAGAGCCTTTTTTTAAACTCCTGTTGTCTGGCAGCTGCCCCAAACCTCTGCATCATAAAAACACTGGCCTACAAGTAAGAATTTTTTTTTTGCCTTTTTAGCTTTTAATTCCTGTGTCTTTGCTATTCTTTATTCGACCTCTGTTATTGTATATGGATCTAAAGCCTTTAGAAGGTTGGTTTATATGCTTGCTCTTTGACAGGCAGTGGATACTGTTGGTACAAGGATATTTCCCTTTTGCATTCAAAATAACTTTCCTTTCCACAGATCTGTTTCAGCTGCCATAAGCAGATGTTTCTTAAGTGGCCTTACAACTGTTACCTCTGCAGCAGGTGAGCTGGTACAAAAGGGGTGAATGAGGAGGGAGAAAAGAATGAAAGAATAGTGCTGAAAATACCCAGTATTCAAAGACTTGTAGTACTGGATAGGAACAGGTTGCTGAGCCCTTCAGTTTTGCCTTACTGCATAAGCCAGGCTGAAGTGTCTACAGCTGCAGAGAATGTGGAAAAATTTGTCTCTGAAGTCGTATCTCAGTTTTAATTCTTAGTATTAAGCTAGCAATAACCAAATTTACTGTGCCAGTATTAAATTCAATTTCTCTGAGATCACTCTGAATTTTGCTCTGAAGATTGGATTTAACTTCAGACAAGGGCTTGAACAGGTTCTGGGAGAGGGTCTTCACCAGAATCTTCTGTTGAGGACTGAAAAGGAGAACTCCGGGCCTTGTGACTGGGGAAGGAGTTGGACCAACTTGTATCCACTTAGTTGTCAGAAAGTTTCTGTTCATGGAAGAGGGAGAGAGATACTTCAGGCTCATTAAGGCTCACTTAAATCTATTTGAAGCAGTGGTGAAGCACTGAATTGATTACAAGCAGCAAGTAAACAACCACTGGAAATTGAGCAACTGTCTGGTGGTAGAGCTGGGTGAATTTTAATGAGGATTTGCAGAGAAAGCCTTGAAGCTATGGATGCTGACACATTTCAGATGAATTAAACAACCATAAATAGGAGAGCTGGCAAACTGAATGGGGGAGTTCTAAGCTTGCTTACTTTGCCATCAAGCAATTCTACCACAATCACAAATTCTGACTTACTTGGGAAAGTCACCTTTAGCTGCCATATTAGTATCTGCTGAGCTTTACTCAAATGATAATGCTGGGAACTTTTTCTTTCAGTGTTGTCTGCTGTGACTGCTGCATCAAGGCAAGTCTAGTCTGTGCAACAGCATATGGTTTTTTACATTTTTTGTTTTCCCAATGCCTCACCTAGTCATAGGAAGCTTTCCTTCATCCCACTGATACCTCAAATCTACACTCTACCTTGTTTCTAAGAAAACAGAAGAGGGAATATTATGAGGTACAAAAGCAGCAAGGGTGCTGCAGACATCTCTTGTCATACTCAGCTGAAACAACTCTGGTTCCTCTTTCATCCTGTGTAAAGTGGTTGGGATTACACTGTGATCTATTTATACAAGGGTCAGAAAGTTCACTGCATTAATGTCTACCTTTTAAGTGCACTAATAAATCAATTGCATGCCATGCAAATTCTCCTGCTAAGCAGGAGGATGGGTTTCCCTGGGAACTCAGGTGACTTGTGTTTTGATTCTAGATGTCGATGCCCTTCAGAACGTGTGTACATCTTCCACTTCACTTCCTAAAACTTTTGAGACTCTCCAGAGAGGACGACCCAGCTACTGAAGAGCAGAAGAGCTCAGAGTTGCTACATGAAATAGAGCACGGGCAGTATTTTGGGTAAGCTGGGACAGGGATGTTCTGGTTTTACCTTGAAAGATGTTACCAGTTACTTATGCAAATCTACAAACATGCAGACAGCAGTATGTAGTAGTAGGTTGGTCAGCTGAATGTTCTGCTGAATGACTGATTTAGTCCCTGGTCTAACTGGTGTATAGTTCTCTGGAAGTATTGTGGATTTTAGATGACCAAAAGGGAGGATGTGAAGGTGCTCTGAAGTAGATTTTCCTTTCTAACTATTAGGTTTCTGATGTGGATTTAGAAGTGTCCACATTAGCCCAGACATGGAAAGTCCTTTGCAATAGCTTCAACTGTATAAGAATTTCCAGACTGCATTACATTCTATCCCCCACAGCTGGAGGTCTGTCACTACAACCCAGGCGTAGCCCCTTTATACCTACAAATCAAATATGCTAATTGTCTTAAGCATAACTGACTGAAGAGTAATGTCACAAATGGTTTCTCATTTTCCCTCCACACATATAGAGACACCCTTTCCTTTTTGTCCCCAGAAAATGAACTATTCCAAAGAGAGCTTTTGATAGTTCTGAGTGGAAAAGACAGACCATGTGTGTATAAGTGCAATATCTAAGACTGAAAACATACATTAACTCTTCTCTATGTTCTCTTCTTCCCAAAACAGTTAAGTGTTCTACTGGAGGAACTGGTGTCTTTTTTCTTCTTTCTTCTCTGAAACAGTTCTTTAATGTAGCCAGAATAAAGTCACAGCAGTTTCTGGTTCAAAGGCTTGTACCTCAGTTGCCAAAAAGCAGGGGTAGTGTTCACTACTGAAGTTAACTGCGTGGGGCAGGCAGTGGTTTGGTCTGTCTTATAATGCAGGTGCTGTAGAAGAGGTCTGAGAGGCTGCACTGCTGACATACTTCAGGATGGCAAAAAAAAATCCTGCTGCATGAGGATGCAGCCATAACCTTGAATCAGACGTAGATAGTCATTAGCCTTTTGACATACTGATGATAGAGAGAAAATGTCAGTAAATTAAAGTGTTCTGGTGCTTAGTAGCCTTCCTAAGTGGTGCTGAGGGCTCTTTTGAACTCATGCAGTTACCTAAATCACTTAGCAGCCTGGGGGGAAGGGTGGAAGAGCACCATGCCCTCTAACAGAAACCTGGGTCAGCTTTCCTGCTTTTGTTTTTCCCTCTCCCTCTCCAGTGTACCCGTTATTTTGGAGCCACATTGCCTAGCACGGCCTCTGTGCTGTTACACAGGGGCCATGGCAGACTGGCTGACTGCAGACATCTGTACCCACTGTGAGCAGTACCTGATGAATGTGGCTTCCTGTCAGCAGCAAAGCATCCCTCCCAGAAGAACTTCCTGGGCTTGATCCAAACTGCAATAACTATACCATACATTTCTCCTGTCACTTGTTCTGTACCTGAAATAAATGAAACAGCTTTATGCACCTATTGACATAAAGGCCTGATTAGAAGACCTCCCTGCTAGTCAGTCTAAGCAGGAAGCACAGTTAGTATTTCTGTATTGTGAAGTATTCTAAAGCTTTGTGGGTTTTGGAACTGTTTTGATTCTTTTTATGTTTCTTTGAGGAAAATAAACGTTGAAGCACTATCACGTCTCTAGCATTTTCTTCTTTGCACCTGCAGTTGCCATTGTTCCGTGGCACTGTTTGCATTCATTGCTGAGCAGGCTTCACCCTGTGTAATGAGTACAGGGAAACTTTTAACCTAAATCCCCATTCCTGAGAGGGTTGGAAAGTGGAACTCTCAGTTATGTGATCACATCACCATGCATTTTGCAAGTGCTCCTTCCTTATAACTCACTAAACAGCACTTAAAGCTCACTGTTTTGATGCATGTAACACCACAGTGATGGCTGCCAGGCTTTAGGAGGCAGATTTGATTTAGGAAGCTTGATTGGGTTTTTGTCTGTGCACTATCATCCTTTGGCACCAGAGCTTCCTGGTGTGTGTTGCTACTATATCTCAATGCCATCATCACCTGAGGAGCAGATGGTTTTTCTTGAAAGATTCTTCTCTTTGTATTGGCTTTAAGCTTTACCCTAAGGTGAACTGGACTGTTGCAATGTATATGAAAAATAAAGAATGTTCTAGTAGATTTTTGTGTGTGTTAAAACCAGAAATGAGATATTTGATAGTATGTGTATTTCTCCCCAGGAATTGCCTGTATGGAAGGGATGTAGGGCCTAAATGGAGTTTGCTTTGATTAGTTTCGTAGTGTTGAAGGATACAATGGACTTGTAGATGGAATGAGTCATGCTAAAGAAAATAATGTCTAGGGAGGGCCAGTTCTTCTAGACAGAGTAAAAGGGAAGAAAGACATGTTTAAGCTGAGCCTGACTAAGGTCTGCATCCAAACTGCCAGGAGGGTCAATACCTCCAGCTGACTTGCGCTGGCCTGACTCTGCTTCCTCCAAACTGCCTGTCTGCAAGCTGATGCCACTTGCAGGTTTGGGCAAGCTCTGCAAGTAAATGAATGTGGGGAAGCTGGAGCTTGTGCTTCCTTTTGGAGCAAGTTCAAGTGCTCCTCTTCCTTCAGTCAATTAGGAGGGATGCAGCCTGCCTGCCCAGGTCCTCTCCTGTATGTGCTAATCGCCGGTGCTGCTGCGAGGCACATCCATATCAGGCAGGTGGGCTCCTTGCAGGCTTCAGGGAATGGCAGCCAAGCCACAGGTGTGCTTGCTGGCAAGATGGGCACAGTGTGGGCCCAGGGGCATGAGTTGCTCTTGGACACTTGCTGAGTGGGGTAGTTTAGGTAAAGCTAGAAATGAGCTGAGATCAGCCTGTTTTGATTAATGTGTAAGCCCAAAATGCTGCTCGGAGCCTGAGTGCAGCAGCGTGGAGAGCAGTCTGTATGGCACTGAGGTAGATTTCACTTTATCTGGAGAGCAAACGTAGTTCTATGTTCTGTCTCTTGCACATCTGCTGTGGTGTGACATGGGCTTGTTTTATTGCGTTTCCCTTTTCCTACCTTGCGACCATAACAGGGGTGAGGAAATGCCCTCACTTGCAGAACAGACAGGCAAAAAGATACGGGTGGGTAGATGCTAAGGGATAACCTGACCTTCTCTGCTTCTCCCTGATCTAGCAATCTCATGGGACAACCTATGTTCCCATCATTCCTCTCAACTACATCAGTTGCATTAACCGCTGGGCAGGCTAGCAAAACCTCTGTCCCCTGTACAGGGGTGACATCTTCAACCCTGATGAGCAGCCATTGTTCCTGATCATGGCAAGTCATGAAAGCTGGCAGGGGCAGACTTACTAGATAAGTACACCTGTTTAAATACAGCCAAAAGAGTCTAGTCACCTCCTTTCCCTGGCTGAGGAGAGCCTTTAGGAGGAAGGAGAGAAAAGGCCTTATCTGGGAGCCACAGAATGCAGAGTGGAGCAGGTACAGGCACAAGACAGGCAGCCTGAAGCAAGGGTGCAGAGAGGGAGGCTCCTGTGTGGAACAGATCTGGGACAAAGTCTTGAAGGCACCGAGAGCAGCACTTTCCAGGGATGTGGAAGTGATTGTGCAAAATGTGTTCTTTCCAGACCCCCTAAAAGGTGGTGGTTTGGAAGAAAGCCTTCCCTCTGCAAGCACACGGCAGGATTGGATCTGGTTTTTTAGCTCATTCCTCTCTCATATGGACCAGAGTCTTCACGGCTTGATGTTAACCCTCTAAGCGAGCTTGCTCCAATTTTGTTTCCCCGTGGGGTCAGCCCTGTGCCGGTATCTAAGGTTAGCCCTGTGCCAGTACCTGAGGTCGGCCCTGTGCCGGTATTTGAGGTCAGCTCTGTGCCACTGTCTGGGGTCAGCCCTGTGCCAGTATCTGAGGTCGGCCCTGTGCCAGTGTCTGAGGTCGGCCCTGTGCCGGTGTCCCCGAACCCAGCGAGGGGCGGGCGGGGCCGGGCCAAGCCCGTCCCGCCAGGGGGCAGCCGCGGGCCGCGCTGCCCGGGGCAGGGGGCCGCAAAATCAGGGACATCTCAAAAATAGGAAATATTTTTTACCGCCCGCTTTTTTTTTTTTTTTTTTTTTTTTTGGTCGGTCCCGCGGCGCTCCCCCAAGCCCTTTTCCTGGAAATGCCCCAGTGGGCATTTCCCACTGGCAGAGAGGGCCTGGGTAATGGGCAGTGGGGAGGTGAGAGTGAGGGGAAGGTGGGGGCGTGTGGGCCAAGGACATCTGGGACAGAGGCACAGGAACACAAAAAGGAGGTTTTAGCTGGAGGGGAGAGGCAGCACAGGCGTGACTGCAGTAATGTCATGTGGCTGTCAGAGTAGTTTGGTGTTTGCTGCTTGAAGCCACCTGGGAAAACACACTCCAGTAGAATCATAGAATGGCTTGGGTTGGAAAGGACCTTAAAGATCATCTATCTCCAACCCCCCTGCAGTGGGCAGGGACACCTTCCACTAGAGCAAGCAGCTCAAAGCCCCATCCAGCCTAGCCTTGAACACTTCCAGAAAGAGGTACAAACCCACTTGAATAATGTCACCCAGGGCACCACTGTCAGCACCTTCTTATTCAGATGAAAGGTGGATTTTGAGTGGGGTTTCACCCTACATCCGATTCAGTTTGGCATAATTATTTTTGCTTCTTTTGTTATAAAGGATAAACATAAAGACTTCATATTTTACATATGAAATAAAACCATAGATGTAGTTTTGGGCAGGATCGGATTTAAAAGCAGGATTAGATTTAAAAACTATGTAGGCAAATTGGGGAAATGGTCTGGAAGAAACAGGCGGCAGCTGAATAAGGAAAATACGGAAGGTCGCACACTTGAGCAACAATATGAACTCCCAGAGTACAGAGGAGGGAGTGATGGGTTAAGTAGCAATTCTTCAGAAAAAGGATCAAAAGCTGAATGCAAGTCAGCTATGTCATGGTGTTGAGGTGATGGAAAATAAGTTGAGGGTAGATGTGGCGTAATTGGATCCAGCCCAGTAGAGAGCAGGGAGAGCAAGCGGAAGTGGAGAAACCATTACCTACCAGGGAAGTCTGAAAGAACTGAAATTCTCTAACTCAAAGGAGGAGAGAACTGAAGTCTTTAGGCACATAAAAGGACATAATCATTGCTCCTTGTCTGTGATGGAGGAGAGGAAAGAAAAAAAGAAGGCTTAAGTCACAGCAGGAAAGGCTCAATTTAGATGTTAGGAAAAACTTTCTAATGACAGGGATAATAAAGAATAGACTGCCTGGGGAGTGGAGAGCTTTAAGATCAAGTTAAGCAACATCTGTCAGGGATGTCCGAGGTTTAGGTGATCCTGCTTCGGTTAGTGAGATGGACTGGTCTGACCTTTCAAGGTTCCTTTCAGCCCTAATTTTTCAGTGGTTCTGTGGGTCGACATTAATCTTCTTGATGGTATTTAAACAGTCAGCAGCTTCTCTTAAGTAACTGCTAGCAAGTCTCTTCTCTTGCCTGCGGTTTAAAATTAACTTAATTTCCATGCATCACTTTCGCCCTCCAGCTCCCAAGTCCTGCACGGCCAGGCAGCAGCTGAATTCCTGGACTGCTTGTCAGTACCTTCCTTGTGGCTCTGTAGCTATGCATAAAAAAAAAAAAAAAAAAAGGGATACAGACGCTGTATACCGGTGACTGTGCCACCAGTGTGAGGGTGCCCTCCTTTTCTGCACTTACATGTAGGAGATATGGTCCTCCTTCTTGAGACAGCGGGATCTCATATGTGGTTATTTCATTTTGTGCGCTCCAGGGACCTGCCTCTTCATGTTGCCTGCAGCCTTCTGATTCTATAAGGTTTGAGTATCCAAGCCCAGACACTGCCCAGCGTGCACAGCACTTCTGTGTAACAATTTGTACAATAACAGGTAATACTTGTCCACAAGTGATCTCTCTTCAAATGGGGCAGACTTCAGAAATAAGAAGGCTGAAGTTGGCCCTGCAGGCCCTTGAAGCCACTAATGGAGGTGAATTTTCATATGCCAGCAACAAAGTAAGAGGGAGAGAAAAAGCCAGGCCACAATGAGCAGTATCTGCAATCCTTGTTGAGTGCCACTGGAAAACAAGCAGAGCTGGTGAGTGTGTACTGAAGGCATGGTGTCTGAAAACTTCTTAGTTTTTTACTTAAAACAGAAAAGACAGCATTTCCATAGCTGGGAAAAGCTGAAAAAAGCTGAAAAGAGAGGGAACCCCTGCCTGGAAGTCCTCACCTTTGGAAAATAACTCCCTGCCAGGCACTGAGCTGCACATACATATGGGTTGTGAAGAGTGACCATGAAAATTGGGTGAGTATGGCATCAAGAGGAGCACTGACCCCACATCACAGCTAGAAGATCAGCGATAGAGGAGATAGCCATAAACCAAAACAGGTCATCCAAAGTCAGGAAAACATGAGGCTTCCAAACCTTCATTGCATCCTCCTTAGTTTATTTACTTAAAACAGAAAGGATTACATTTCTATAGCTGGGAAAAATCATCCCCATTGAGAGAGAGAACCACAAGTATCTTACCTGCCCACAGACAAGCAGTCACAATTTCTCTCACTAATCTTCTCCAGTGGTTTTAACCACCCAAGATAATTGTGGGCCCGATACACAGGCCTTCACACTTGCTTTTGTTAACAGAGCAAGCAGGATCTGTGTTATCTCTGCATGACAAGTAGTAAGAACCTTATTTCATACGTGTGAGTAACGTATAAAGAAATGAAGCGGCCACCACAGGAGCAGGTTGAAACACAGGGTCTTTCACTCCCAGCCCTGAGCTCCTTCTTTCAGACCATGCTGCCAGCTCCGAGACGTGGCTGGGCTGTTATTTATATGTGTAATAAAACGCCACCTGAATGCAGCTGGAGTGCTACCTTTGAGCAACACGAGCACGCTGGGGACTTTATTTACGGCTATTTCACTTTGCCTCTCTTGATGCTGGGAATGAGAGTTTCAGGTGTGCTACCCTTTAAAAAAACCCACTGTGAAATATGCATATGTTAAAGTGGGTTGTGCTTTTGTGGAGCCTGTATCCCAAACTGCATAGTAGCTGCTTTGTGCACAAATTGTACAAAGGCACAGTTCCACTCCAGTGAAAATGTATTTATCAGAACTAAGACAGTATGAATCTGATTCATTAAATAAGACCTCATTTTTTTAAGGGAATGTTAGGAGTAATACAAATACAACAAGCTCGTAAGGCCCTTGAAAGGTAAGGGTGAAGCAAGCTTACTCTTTAACTACTGCAACTTGGGAAAGGTGGTTTTGGAAGTGCCATAAAAATTGTAACTTTATTGGGATATTCCGGACACTACTGTACCCCACAGGGTTCAGGGGAATGATGAGATTACCCACCCAAATGTAAGTTTATTTGAACAATGCAATTTATATGAAATCCAGGATTTTTCAAGATAAGAGAAAATCAGGACTTTTTCATTTTTTGCCCGGACAGCTGGGGAATTCAGGACCAGCTACACTTGAGCACTCTGCATTTTGGGCATTGTAAACTCAAAATTTTCCCATCTGAGGGGTGCTGCCAGCTGCAGTGAGCTTGATCTCTGCTTAGCTTTGGAGCTGGAGCCAGACGGCCTGCTAACACAGTATGGCTGCAGGCCTTTTTGGTGTTTTCACTCTGTGGAGTTTTTATGAGACCATATCTGTCAAACGTATGTGTGAAGATAAATCAAACAAGCACAGCCATGGCTATTAAATAAATGTGAAATCTGAGTGGCTTCCACCAGCCCCTCGGTCCCTCCCCCTCGGCTGCCGTGTGTACTGAGTGTTTTATAGGCACAGGACGGTGAAGGATGGCTGGTTATGAGAAAGGGGAAGCAGTGGGGAGGCAGCTCCAAGGGAAGGGAGTGATTTCATTGCAGCGGGAAGCAGAGAGCTACAGGATGGGTTTGGGGCTCATGCTGCTGAAATGTTTAGGTCTGGAAAGAGCCTGTTTTGAATCTCGATGACTTTTGAAGAAGGAGAGACTCAACAAATTCCATCAGGGATGTGGTCTGACTGCTGTGATGGCATCCAAAGTGCAATGAAGATGGGAATTCAGCAGAGGAGACAAGAAGGCACTCCAAGCAGAAGTGTAATGGGGTAATCAATCTCGGACCACGTTTGCACCACAAGGTTGCTGCAACTTGAATACCAAAGCATGAGAAGGACATCAAGGTTCTACATGCCTCACAGCCTGTCTTCTCCTGGAAAATAAAATAATCTTGACCTGATCACCACTCACATTTTCCCACTATTCCCTAAATTGTTCTTCCCCCAGGAGAAGGGTGGTCTTTCCAAGGTCAGGGTTGAGGTTACTGACAGGTCAGGGAGGGCAAGGTCAGGCTTGAAGCTGGCTGGCTGTACCAAAGCTGTCCCACATAGGGAGAGGGCCTTGCAGTTTCCAAAGCCATCAATCTCCTCCCCACTTTCACCAGCTATTCACCTCTCCCAGTTTTAAGTGGAAGAAAATACAGCCAACCTCTTCAAGTCCTTGTGTCACGCCTCTGGGAGCTGCATTCTTGCTCTCGAGTGCTCAGTCACTGAAACAGAATAGCCAATATATCACTCCCAGTGTCTTTATTTGGGGGTTGAAGTTGGATCAATGTATCTGAAGCCTACTGTAACCAGGAAATGATTCTTCTTATTTCTGACAATGGGGCCGCTTCTGCCACCAAGAAAGCATTTGTCACTTCTCCCTGGCTGCACTGGGGTTTGGCTGAATGTGCCTGTTTACCCTGGCACACAGGGAGAGCATCCTCACAGAGGAGATGGGGACTCAACAGGAGTCGAGGCTAACAAATCACGTGGTGGTGAAGTGTATGGTGCTGGTGCTAAAGGCAAAGCAGGAGGGGCGGGACATGGCCCATAAGGCAGGAGCATGGGACAAAGATTATTTGACGTGGTTCCTAAATCTGTGATATCATTGCGTCTCCATCGATTTTTAATGCTGATTGACACTAGGAGAGGATTTGACCCATTAGATTATAGTCTGCTGCACAGAGGATGTCATGGCAGCTCTTGGTCCTTCTGTGAATATCGCCAGTGTTCAGCTGAATGAAAATAAATACTCAGAGATGGTTTTTGCCAGTAAAAACATACAAGGAAAGAGAAGGCTAATGTACTAACAAGTGCATTTCTGCTGAGTTGCTAATGCAATGCAAAATGATTATTAGTAATATTAGCAATGCACGCGAGGCTACCATTGAATAAATGATCTGTGAACACCCAAAAGGCCAGGAAAACACTTAGAACAAATCTTTCTTTCAAAGTAAATAATTTAGATTGGATTCTGTTAGCTCATGGGGCCAGGTTGCTTTGTTGATGTGCTGGCATTGTTACTTTCAAAGAAATCTAAATCAGCCAGTTTACACAAGCTGAAAATCTTATCCCAAGCTTTTTGTTGATCATCAGAGTCATTATTAATGTAAAATATTTAAGAGACTAGCTTTTCATTCATTGTTGGAGGTGGGTTTTTTTAAGAGTGTTCTGTAGGTCCTTGCGTATAGCATATACATTCTGTTCCAAGCGATTCAGCTGCCACTTACCATCTGAAATGCTGAGTCTATACCATGATGTCAATGGGAACAATTTTATTCTGATTCCAAATAACAGAAAGCACAATTCAGAGGTCCTGAAGTGCTCAATTGTCAGGGCAGAGCACAGGGCATAGAATGGGAACACAGAGGAAAATATGTTTGTGACTCATGGCAGCGATATGCCCGCAACTTATCTGTGCATATAAACACCTAACAACCCTTATTCTGCCATTCAAGGTAAGGATCCATACTTTACTCCTACAACTGTGCTTCCTCATAGAGCAATTCCATTCAAAAATGCAGGTTTTCATGCAATAGTGGTTACCTCCAGCTCTCAGGTCTTCAGTTTATCCTACCTATCTCTCCTGTGGTCACCAGCCATCCTCTGTTTAACACTGCTGCCCTGTGACCAGGGTAACAACCTTGTCAAGAACAGGCTAGAGATGCAGGTTGGCTTTGACATCTGCTGTACTGCCTGTTGTGGGAAAACTCCTCACACGGGGATCCCTAACATTCTCCAAGGCACAGGCAGCATGGGCAGTATCTTGGAAGCTAGACCTGCTGTTGTTGTCTTTCCTTAGTCCAGAGGAGACAGGTACCATTGCTGACAGGGGAAGTGTGAAGGCAAACCACTGGCTTCTCACCTCCTGCAGGCATATCCCTCCATTCCTGTCACCACCACCAGTGCTGGTTGCAGGGAGCTTCCTTCTACAGCAGCAATAGCTGTTTTCCCACCCCATCCCTTCAAAGGCACTGGGAGCAGCAAGCCCTACCTCCAGGGTTTTCAGTGCTCTCCCATGTAGCCCTGCATCCTTCACCTTCTCAGGACAAGGCAAATCTGGACAGGCCCATCCTGCTCCTCAGGCATTCAGCAGCAGCTGGAGAAGTGCAAAAAGATCAGTGACACCTGCCGCAGCTGAGGGACTGCAAGGGGAATAAGTGGAAATAGGCCCTGTGTAGAGGGAGAAGTTGGGGGGGGGGTGGACTGAGGAAGGGGAAAGGAGAAGCATTCTAGTGCTTCTCCATGCCTGTCCCACTGAATACTCCTAGCAAGGCTCTCCACATACAATGGACCCTTACCAGCTCTCCTCCATAGTCAACCTCCCTCAGAAGAGCTGCAGACTAACCCAAATCTCTGCTCCGCCTTCAGAACCCCGAGGCAGGACACTGCTGTCATTCCTGACAGCTACCCAACCTGTTCTTAAAGCTCTGGCCTTAGGGAGGCTTCATGCCTGGACACTTTATGCATTGCCTCTATCTATTTGCCCTAATACTTTTGCAACATCAAGTTTGAACCTTTCTTACTGTAGTTTAAGGCTGTTTTTATTTCTGAACATCTTGGGTTTCGGCAAGTAGAACTGACAGTGCCTTTCTCCTCTGTCACGAACTTAAAGACTTGCTGTGCTTACTATTGGTCTTCTTTTTTTTTAAGGCTAAGCTTTACTAAGACTTCTCGGTTTCCTCCCAGAAGATGTTCTCTAGACCTCTGATGATAATTCTCGTTTTTGTCTGGATTGTATTTAATTAGCCTTCATCTTTTTTTTTGCTTTTTCCAAGAGTATGGCACTGATGACAAACAGTTTGGTTTTTAATCTGCGCTAAACCTCAGCTCCAGTAGTTCCATATCCATATTTGTGCAGTCAGTTACTCCTCAGTGTGGATTCTCCTCTGTAGAGGTTCCTACTGTGTCCTTTCTTTTTTTCCTCTGACTGTTTCTATAATTTGTCAGGGTGTTGTTTGCTTTTTTAAAAAATTCTAGTCCTGTCTTCAGTGTCCTTGCAGATTCTTCAGCTTTGGGCATCCTGCAAATTTAATCATCTTTCTTCTAGTTCACAGTCCGAGTCACTATCAGACTGGAACTGGAGACAGAGAGAAACCTGTACATATCTGTCCAATCTGTACATCTCTATTCCTGTCTGTGGCGAGTGAAGTCCTGTTCACAGCCTTCTGAGTACCAGCGCTGTGTCTGCTCTGCAGTAGATAGACCACACATTCCTTGCTGGTTTATGAGAATTTCATGTGAGACAGTGTCAAAGGACTTCCTCGAGTCAAGATACTGACATCTGCTTCTCCTTACTGGCCTGCGAGGTCTGTCTGCTTGTTTTAAAAGAAAATTAGATGGGTTTGTCAGGACCAGACTATGGGTTGTTACTCATCCCATTACATTCCTTACAAATAGCTTTTTTTATTACTAATTCCAGAATTTTTCCCGTAACTGAAATTAAATTAATGTCTATAATTCCCCACTCCTTCCCCCCCCCCCCCCCCCCCCCCCCCCCCATCTTCACTTTAGTTGCTTTTGCTTTGTTTTATTATTTATCCTTAGTAATCCAGCCTAGGTTTCACTCTCTACATAACCTCTTTAAACTTAAGGTCAACAGTGGTATTCTAGTCAATCTATTCTTTTCTTGTATTTCTATTCCTTTCTCTGCACTGGTGTAGAGCTTGCTTGGGCAAACTGTATCTTGCTGTCTTCCTGTCCCAGCAACTAGCTGAGTGCAAAAAAATCCCCCTTTACCACCAAAGCCTGGACTGTGGTTGAAGTCTGCTTATTGCTTCTTGGCTCATTGGTTTGCAGGAGACTTGTCACAATGCTGAGGCCCACACTTGGTGACCTGTAGGCCACCCTATGCTGTTAATGCTCATATTTTCTCCCTAAGCTATTTTAGCTATGGCATTTCACCTGGCAGAAGTTCTGGGCCACCCACCTCACTGCTGGTGCCACCTTCTTTCTTTCTTTCTTTCATGGTTGGCATGAATGAGATGGCCACGTCTTCTGCCATGCCCAGCAACTATCCATTCCAGCTACTCTGCAGGAGAGGGAAGGAATACTGAGCACCACTGGCAAGCTAAAGCCTCCCCACTCTGTTACTTTTCTTAGCCTTCGAAGTCAAGGTTAGATCTGCATTATCATAATGGCAGTGAAATCTTAGTTCAAGCCAGCTTTGGATAATGTTTGCT